TATTGAGTCATCAGATATGTAAATATAGTTGCGCAGGAAAAAATACATACACATTTACATACCTCGGGTTTTTAGCGACCCTATACACTTTTTACAAAAAATTCATCAGAAAACTGGCATTCTTTTATATTTGACTAATTTGTTTCTTGTTATATTGTTTATAATTAATAGATTGAGGAATACTAAGAAAGTTGATGTCTAACTTAAAAAAATGAAGGAGGGAGAGGGTAGAGAATGATGTCCCGGGTCGCTAAAGACCTGAGGTATGCATTTAAGGGTTAATAGGTCCGGGAAACCAGTCAGTAATGAGACCAGTGTGTTGGAGTGAACTGAATGTTTGTCAGTTTGTGGCTGTGTGGCTTCAATGCTTTTTAAGCATCAGATGATAAAGGTCAAATGTGTACAGTACGTGCAGGTGGGTATGGTAAAATCCGTACCTTGTCCTCCAGCGCAGCCATGCGCTCCTTCAGGTGCAGCTGAAGCCGTTCATTGGACTCGGTGAGGAGACGGTCCACAGTGTCAGACAGACGTTTGTTATGCTCCTCGTTCATCTTCTCCCTCTGCCGAGCCTGAGAAAAGAGCAGAGAAGACAAAGGCAAGAAAGAAAAAAGGGAAGCATGAAACAACATCCTTTATTTTAAGAGTACAACTAGATTTCTACATTTTCAGAAGAAAATGTGAGAAGCAAGATAATCTGGTTCCTAGATATGGCTTGGTCTACTCTAAGGGATGCCTATGGAATTTATTTTTCTGAACCAATGGAGGGCAGTATTACACCCTGGAGCACTGTGATCATATTCTAGGAGTTTTATGTCTGATTTTTTAAGTCTGGTTCATGATATCAAACACACATAGATGCCTCTGAGAGTTCACATTTTGCTTCAATATTTCATTCTAATTTCTCACATTTTTAAGGGTGTTTCTAAGGGGGTTCATTTTGTGATAATCTCTCTAGAAAATTAAGAATGACAGTCCTTGTAGTTGAATGCAGGGGTGATGACTTTTAAACACAGTTGCGGTGGGATTTGGGCACTCAGTTGCCTGGCAACAAAATCTAAATTTTCTTTTGGTGGCAGTGGTCTTTAAAATGTAGTCAACACAAAGCATTGTGACTGTCAGGAAGGAACTGGAGCTAGTCTGAGGTGTAAGTATCAAGGTTTAATTAAGGCTGAAGGATGATAAGGACTCTCTTTGACTGCTTTAAGTCATTACAACCATCAGCTCTCATGCAGGAGGAAATTAACCCTGCATGAATTATTCAAAATCCAAATATAGCAGCCAATTACAGCTCTGCTCTCACTGGGGGTGGGGAAATTCATCTGCAAGATGAGCTAAAAATGTCCCGTATTCTCAGAGCAGCAGCATGTGTGTGTGTGTGTTTGTACAAGAGTGCTAGCTTATCGATCTTTGTGTGCCTCTGTGGTGTGTGTAAAAAACACAAAGTAGCACAGGCTAATCAGAGTGGTCAGCCCTCAGAGTCAAACACACCGCCTGCAGGCCTGGTCAAGACCTATTGGGCAACAGGTAACAAGTCTTCCTTAACGCGCACACACACACACACACACACACACACACACACACACACTGAAATTAGGACCATATACTAATATTGTTTTAATATAAATCTAATTAAAATACAGACTATCCTTGAAACCCAAACAAAAAGAAAGGTTTTTACTGTTTTAAAATAAAATATCTTTGCCACCAAACTATGGCTATACATGTCCACTGACTCCTATTCTATTGTTAAAATATTCTATTCTATTGTTAAATAATATGAACAGATACATTTTTTTATTTTAATGATATATTAGTAAATGTTTAAATAAATATACAGTAAACTAAGATTAATAAATCCAATATAGCACTATGAAGTCTTTTCCCTAATAGGAACCATCTGACGAAGGTGATTTCAAGTTTTGTGGAGACATGTTGGCCACACATGAACATCCACACAAAAAAACACTGGTGTCTCAATAGTGTTAATTCTTATGTGCGCTTAAAGAAATCAAAACCTCACGCACACAGCGTAATGAACCAAAGCCATTCACACTCTCTCATTTTCTCCATTCCATCATCCTTCAAGCAATCTCATCTTTCCACTATCCAACATTCACTCCCTCAGTGACACACTCTGCATCCCTGTTTTCTTTTGGTGTCATGGCCCCAACCCAGTCCTCACCCTGCCCAGCTCTTGGTTCTTCTCTTCTAGTTGGGCCTCCAGTTGACGCAAACGCTCCTCAATGTTTCCATGACGCTCCTCCGCCTGCAGGAAACACTGACATTAGTATAAAGAGCAACAGCAGGGCTAAAACCTTCACAGATTAGACACTTCACATTTAAGAAGAAAGAGTTTAGATTTAATGGTTAATTGTGAGCCAACCCTATTTAAAATGAAAATAAGGCTGTGAGGCATGAAAGCACAGCTTTTTTTTCAGTGCATATTGTTGTATAGTTCAGCTTCTCTGACTAAGGTCTATAGCCCAGTGATGGCATATAAATGGGATCTTAGGAAGGAGAAAGTCTCCATCTGGTTTAAGGCCAGCCATGGATCTGTATCATTAGGAACATGAAGTGTATGACAGGATGCCATTTTTAATTATCTGCATAAGTGAGACTATAAACAAAACCCCACTGCCTCTCTGCCACTCTGACAAGACATTTGGCTGCCTCAGAAAAACACTGTCATCCACAATTTCAGCTGATGTTAAGATGAAACGTGACTGCTACAGAGTGAGGATTATCTAAACTGGCAAGAGATGGAAGCCTGTAGAAGAGAAACATTTGCTCTACCTCTGGATGTTTGATGGCTGATGCAACGAAGTGCTTTATTATATTCAGTAGAGCTGTATTTTTTATTTATTTTAGTCTTTTTTTTGACACTTATAACAAGAGAAAGGACACAACTGATGGGAAAAGGGGTTGGAACAGGACGAAGAAATAATGACTTGCATGGAGCACCATGGCTCAATGTGTCGGAAAACACATTGCCTGACACTAGGCCTCAGGTCCGACCAATACATATGTTTAAGGATCCAGATTTTACTTTGGACATCAAGTGGAAACCCAAATCAGTAAAAAACCCAATTTACACAGTAAATTGCCAATTGAAAAAAAATTTTTTTTTAATCAGACAATTAATTACCATGAACTATATAGGACCAAAATATAAAAAATTATTAACATGATATAAACAACAGCACAAGTGTTTTACCCGTTAAGCCAATGTCAGTCTTAAAACAAATTTTCGTTAACTGAAAAAAAAAAAATCTGAAATACAATAAAAAAACAAATTTTAACTAAATGAAAATGTAATATATTGCCTTGGCAACTAACTGAAATTAAGTTTAAAAAAAGACAATGAAATAAAAATAAATTAAAACTAAATAGAAACATTAACAAACTACAAAAAATGTCAAAACATAATTACTAAAACTAAATTGGAACCATATTTAATATAATATGGGGTGTATTTACTTTTACCACACATTGTTTTGTTAAACCATGTTAGCATCTGCTTGATATGTCAATAGTTTGGCTAAATATGTGCATCTGCCTAATATGCAATTCACTTTTTTTTTTGGTCCCTAATTTCTGTGATCCATTTAGAACGTACCAGCAACCCAAACTTGGGTCTTGACCCATCATAGAACTTTTAGATGTTTCTCTAAATCATGTCTCAGTAGGCTAAAAAGTCTTTTTGAACAGCTTATGTTGCTCATCTCTTACCTAATCCTGCTGTGTAATCTTTTAGTGTCAGTTTCCGCCCTTCTTTACCTTATCATTTTGTTTCACCATCTCAGAGGGTGTTTTCCTCACAGACAATAATCTTATGAACTGACACTCTCATTTTTTTCCCCCACTGCTGTTGTCTGGAGAAATGATTGAGTACTCGCCTTGGTGAGGGCGGCCACTCTCTGGGCCAGTTCAGCCTCCACCTCGGGTAGAGTCTCCGCCTTCCTCATGGTCTGCTGTAGCCGTTGTTCCGCCAACTCCAGCAATTCCTGAAGGTGTCGTACCTTCTCCTCGCTCTGATAAAAAGACACACGCGCACACAAATCACACGAAAATAAGACAAACAGAGGGTGTACATTCATGTAGACACCATAAACACCCCGATTTTAGAAGAAAACACAGATATTATACACCCAATACATGTATTCACACACAAAGGTAAGATATTAAGACCCACACAAGGTTACAAGGAAGTCAAGACATACACACAAAAGAAAACATACCATACATTTGAATAGTAAGCACACATACAATACAAAACAAATAAGTGCACATAAAAACAAACCACCAGTGTACGAGTACGAAAACACACAAAATACATACACTTGATAAAATATCCAAATCAAAATTTGGATTATACGCTCCTGTTAAAAAGTTTGGGGTTGGTAAGATATTTATGTTTTTTGAAAATGTCTCACCAAGTGCTCACCAAAGGTTGCATATATTTGATCAAAAATACAGCAAAAACAGTAATATTGTGAAATACTTTTACAATTTAAAATAACTGTTTTCTATTTTAATATATTCTTTTAAAATGCAATTTATTTCTGTGACTGCAAAGTTTTCTGCATCCATTACTCCAGTCTTCAGCATCACATAATCATTCAAATCATGCTGATTTGTTGCACAATATTTCTTATTATCAATGTTGAAAACAGTTATGCTACTCAATAGTTTTGTGGAAACTGTGATACAACAACATTTAATTGAAGTAGAAATTGTTTGTAACATTATGAATGTCGTTACTGGCACTTTTAATCAATTTAATGCAACTTTGATTAATAAAAGTATTAATTTCTTAAAATAAATAAATAAATCTTACTGACCCAAAACTTTTTAAGGGTAATGTACATCAATCACTTTAATATCAATGTGAGTTAATGCATTTTTTCATTCTCATTTGCTTAAACAGGGAGATCCAAAGAGATATTCTTTATAAAAGTTAAGAGTCAACCACGCCTACTGAAAACGGCTCATTCTAACACGCCCCCACATGTCTACGTCACGATGTGGGAAGATTTGCATAACGCCGCCCAAATGTTCATGCAAAGAAAGAACTTTGCTGTAGTATTGTTGCTGCCGCCATGTCGTGAAGACGCTGTGTGTTTCGTTATGAAAGCAAAACTACTTTGTTTGGCCTTCCAAAAGAGGACACAACTAGAAATCAGTGGTTAAGTTGTATTTACAACACTGTTCCAGAACAGTTTAACCAAAATATTCAGATGTGTGCAGCGTATTTTATGGAGAACTGATCCTGGGAGAGT